GCTCGATCCCCAGGAGGGGATGTGCAGGAGGCAGCCAATCAATGATTCTGTCTCATTGATATTTCTATCTCTCTCTCCCTCTCCCTTCCTCTCTGAAATCAATAAAAATAAAATTGTTTTTAAAAGAGGTGGCAGTAGTAATAGCAAGAAGTGTCCGGTCCTCCAGTTGTCCAAGAACTTCCCCCATCCCTCCATACCCTGCCTTGGCTGGGTCCTGAAGAGATGGGCAGGTCAGGAGGTGATTCCCACTGAATACATGAGGCAGCTGAGACCGAAAGAGGTTAAGGCCCAGGGTCACCAAGCGGGACCATGTGGTGTGGCTCAGGGGAGCTGAGGGTCCCTCGGTGGTGGCCTAGCCCAGTACCTGCGCTGAAGACTGGGCTGCAGCAGCTGCTGGAAGAATTGGGAACGGTGGTCCTCACAGTGAGGGCTTCTCCCTTGCCTGCGTGGCTGATTCTTAGGAGCAGGAGAGACTTGCCCTGGTCAGGGAGAAGACATGAAGAATTTCTTTTTATTTTTTTATTTTATTTTATTTTTTTAAATATATTTTTATTGATTTCAGAGAGGAAGGGAGAGGGGGAGATAGAAACATCAATGATGAGAAAGAATCACCGATTGGCTGCCTCCTGCACGTCCCCTACTGGGGATTGAGCCCACAATCCAGGCATGTGCCCTTGACTGGAATTGAACCCAGGACCCTTCAGTCCGCAGGCCAACGCTCTATCCACTGAGCAAAACCAGCCTGGGCAAGAATTTCTTTTTAACAGCCTCCTTGCCCTGCTTACCTCCTGTTTCTGTGATGTCTGGTTTTATGGAAGCTTGAGGAGGCCAGGATGTAGGGATATAACCCCCTCATCTCACCGTGGTCTGAGTGTCTCCTGGGCAAGTAGATTTTTTCTTTTATGTAGCAAAATGGGATGTGTCCCAGATCTCTCCTATCATGAGACCTTCATGGTGCAGTAGAAATGCAGGTGCTCATGACCTGGCCGTCCAAGGTCTGACCTTGAGTGATCTTGCAACCTCTGCAGCTTCGGGTTTCCCATGGGTTGGATGGAACGGTCTCTACCTGGCCTCCCTCCACAGGGAGCGTGTGAGGACCAGATGGGGTGAGTGGATTTGCAAAGCCTTCCAAAGGGGCGGCCTTAGCGCCTGTCTCCCCCAGGCTGACCAGAGCCAGGAGCAGCGGGGAAGCGCTAAAGTCAGGAGGGTGGAGGAGGATGGTCCGAGCCTGTCCTGGCGCTCCTTGCCGAGCCACCCGGGGCAGCTCCCTTCCCTCCCTGGACCATGCCTGCCCTTTTGCAGATGTTCATTTTACACATGTGTTACATAGACTTTCACATTTGCTTTTTATGGAGATATAATTCACATACCATAACATCCCCCCTTTTAAAAGATACACAATTCAGGGGTTTTTAGTGTAGTCCCAAAGTTGTGTATTCATCACCACTCTCTAATTTCCAAACATTTTAATCAACCCCAAAAGAAACTGAATACCAATTAAGTCACTTGCTATTCCTCCTTCCCCCGACCCTTGGCACCCACTAATCTGCCTTCTGTCTCTGTGGATTCACCCACTCTGGACATTTCCGATAAGCGGAATCCTACAATGTGTGGTCTATGTGCCCGGCTTCTTCCCTTTAGCATCATGCTGCCCAGATCCGTGCCCGTGGTGGCACGTCAGCAGCTCGTCGTTTTTGTGACTAACTGGTATTCCGTTTCATGAATGTACCGCGTTTGTGTACCCCCTCCTCCATCGATGGGCATTCGGGCTGTTTCCTCCTTTGGCCCCCGTGGCTAGTGTTGCTGGGAACATTGCTGTGCAGGTTTCTGTGTGAACACCTTCTCCCGTTCCTCAGGGCACGTGCCCACTGGGGAAATTGCTGCGTCATGTGATTCTATGTGTAACTTTTGAGGAACCGCCAGACGGTTTTCCACAGTAGCTGAACCACTTTACACTCCCACCCGCGATGCACGAAGGTTCCAGTTTCTTCACATTCTCACCCAGGCTTGCCCATCTTTTTTATCATAGCCACCCTAGCGGATGTGAGAGAGTATCTCATTGTGGGAACTGTATATGACACAGGTTTTTAATCTGCAAGTCCCTCTTTAAAAAGCCAGTTCCTGCCCGACCAGCACGGCTCAGTGGTTGCACGTCCACGTATGAACCAGGAGGTTATGTGCCCAGGGGGCGTGCAGGAGGCAGCCAATCAATAATTCTCTATCATCATTAATGTTTCGATCTCTCTCTTCCTCTTCCTTTTTCTCTAAAATCAACAAAAATATTTTTAAATAATTTTTTTAAAGTAAAATAAATAAATAAAAAGCCGTCTTCCTGTACAATGTTTCGATCTCTCTCTTCCTCTTTCTTCTTCTCTAAAATCAACAAAAATATTTTTTAAATAATTTTTTAAAAGTAAAATAAATAAATAAAAAGCCGTCTTCCTGTAGATCGTCCATATGTAGGACTCACACAAGAGGAGCCTCATCAGGTGCAGTGGGGAGGAGGCCCGAGCTCACCCCTCAGCAGTCACAGAGGCAAGTTCGCCGGGTGGTTCCCAGCCTGGAGTCTGACTCCCAGAGAGTCCTGTGCCGCAGCCACCTCAGCCCTCAGGCCCGTCCTGGTTGCCCTAGGAACCCAGACAGCATTGGCCCAGCGGTGGGTCTGCCCTGCCATTGAGCCGGGGTTGCCATGGTGAGAAGAGGCGTTCAGTGGCTCCCACCCGTGGCTCCAGCTCAGAGGGCAGCTCGGGCAGGACCAGAAAGCCGGCTGGAGAAACGCCGCCACTGCCTCGTTCCCAGGCCCAGGAAGGGAGGCCCCGGGTTTGGCTGGTAGCGCCAAGGAGCGGGGTGGCTGGTCAGGTTGCGAAGCCAGTGGAAGGGTCACTGAACTCGGCTGTGAGTAGCCCTCAGAGCACAACCCTCTGCGATCCCCGTGGCCGCTTGGCACGCTCCCAGGCCGCTCTTTCTCCTCCCACGTCTCTCCGCATCCGCACTCTGGGCGCACCAGGCGCTCTGCCGTGTGATGGGTGGGGTGTTCTGCATTCCCGCGTTGCCTGGGCAGAGAGGGGACCCCCTCCCCAAGTTCTATTCTGCTGGTCTCGAAGATCTGGTTTTCACAGCTGTCAGAGGTGTGAGTCACCAGTCGCAGATTGTTCTGTTCCCTGGCTGGGTTTTAGGATAGCTTTCTTCTTTCTGGATGGCTAATTCTTTGAAAAAGGATAATTTATAGGATGTGCAGGGACTTTCACTTAGCTAGAATATTAGATTAACCCGAGTGCCTGGCTTCTCCCCCGTGACTTGCTGGTGGAGTGAAATGCCATGGTGTCTTTAAAGGATGCAGCGTCCTGATTCTACAGCCGTGGGAACTGAAACCCGGAGCCCTAGTGATCTAAGGGGGGAAGCATGACGAGGGTCCATCGCTTCATTGACAGCCTGGAATTACAGAATCGGAAAAGGTTGGCTCTGGAAGCGTCTCAGACCATCTAATCCAACCTCTGGGCTTAGCAAACGTGCCTGTTTCAGCCGTTGTGTTATGTACAGTTGTGTGTTGGTTGTGTTCATTTGTATGAAACTCCCCAGAGGGTGGCGTTTCAACCCCCGGCCTGGCATGCAAGTGGTCATGACAGTAAGTGATGGGAGGCGTCCCAGCGTGTGGTGTGC